CCGTGCCGGAATTACTTAATTATGCGAGAGGATAATCTTCTGTCACAACACCATGCGTGAGGGTGAGGGCGAACAGTGATTCCGCTACGGAATTCCGGGAATTGAGTCGAGGCGGAATTACACGGAATCGGACGGAATTCCAGGGAATTCCGTCCGATTCCGGAAATTGAGTGGAGGTTGTATCCCCACCAACCCCGGAATTGGAATCAATTCCAGGAATTCCGGAATCGGACGAAATTCCTAGGAATTCCGTCCAATTCCGTGCGATTCCGTCTCGACTCAATTCCCGAAATTCCGTTTATCAGTTGCATGCATACACTGGAAGTGAGCAATGGTGTTAATACAACGAATAAATGATTCCGGAATCGAACGGAATTACATGGAATTGCATGCAATTCCGTCTAATTCCGTGGAATTCCTCCTTGAAGCGATTCCCGGAATTCCGTTTATCAGTTGCATGCATACACTAGAAGTGAGCGATGGTATTAATGCAACGAATAAATGATTTCGGAATCGAACGGAATTACATGGAATTGCATGCAATTCCGTCCAATACCTCCTTTATGCGATTCCCGGAATTCCGTTTGGGAATTGCATGGATACACTAGAAGTGAACTATGGTATTAATGCAACGTATATATGATTCCGGAATATAACGGAATTACATGGAATTTGAAGCAATTCGGGCTAATTCGCTGCGATTCCTGCTTGATAGAATTCCCGGAGTTTCGGAATTAGATGGTATTATTGGAAATGATTCCGGAATTGTTGGAAAATGGTTGATTTGATTCCGGAATTGGATTGAGGTCTGTGTGAGCGGAATTGCGGAATTGGATGGAATCGATTCCGGGGCGGAACTGATTCCAGCAATGTGCAACATCGCGGAATAGGATGTATTCTCTTTCATATTATTCTATGATAGTAAAATGTCACAAGTCACGTTTGAACTCTTGATTGTTCAAAGGAGCAGGGTCGTTAATCCATGAATTCGGCCCATTCCTGAAATTGCGTTTTATATTTTTCAAATAGTCGATTAATGTTCGAATTAGTGAATTTGCCTTAGTTATAGCTATGTATGGGGGGGGGGGGGGGGGGGGGGGGGG